GAAGACAGGGACCGGCCTGTCTTAAGGACAGACACTGCACGTCCTGTAGCAGCATCACCTCGGCGAGTTCTGGCTCAGCGCTTGCATCCGTATTCCCTCACCTTTCTTCAAGTCGTTGGGACAAAATCCACGCCCTGCACGTTTTGGGACTGCTCCGGCAGAGCTGATCAGCACATTGTGGCGCGGCTGGTACCAGAAGTCGTACCCAGTCGGGGGGGCCTCACACTCGTTTTCCCAGTTCCCCTTCAGCTCAAAGGTCTCTCCATCCAGCACAATAAATCCACCTGTGACACCAAAGGGGTTCGCGACAAGTCCCATACTCCACTGCCAAACCAGCCAGTTTGTTCACGGAGCCATTACAGGGCAAAGTACCTTTCCCATTGCCAGACGGATCTCCCGTGTTGGCAATCAGAATGTCGCCGTTAGGCAGGCTGCGAGGTACATTGAGGTATCCCTTGTTGCACTTCCAGAAGACATCCACTGGCTCGATCATCTGAAGAAAGGCGACACACACACACACTTCAGCCTCCGACTGCTCAGCGCATTTCACACTGCCTGGCACAGCCTTTGCCCACCAGAGACTTCTGACAATCTCTGAGAAGGAGAGAGCCGAGAGGGAAACGTGACCCGGCTCTCTAAAATCAGGGCGGAAGAGAAGATGAAGAGAGAACCCTTCTTCCCCGTGTATCGTTCCAGAAGCACCAGTTCCCAACTCCTTCCCAGAAACGTGTCTTTGAATCACCACCTCAGGCATACCTTACACAGCTTGGGAGCCCGGCACTGTGAGCCCACATCCACCACGTAAATGCGGGAAGAAATCAGACAGGGAAGAATCAGCTTGGTCCTTTTCGTGGTGACACTGTCAAAGCAGGTGCAGCCAGTGCTCCACCCCGAGGAATGCAGCTCGTCTTTGAGGTTGGGCATGGGCAGGCGGTGGATCACCTAGGCAGTCAAGGCAGAGGTAGGGGTCACTCAGGGAGGCAGGGAGAATACAGCAGCTTAGAGGTGGTAGCACTGCTCCCTGACCAAAGGAGATCTCTGGAACGGTTAAAGCTTAGATGTGACCAATCAACTCAAAGATGCACAGTAGGTGTAGACAACCTGTCTTTGCAGCCCTCAGAGATGGGTAAATGCCGATTCCCCGTTTAGGATGACAGCAGGCAGGTCGCACAGTGCACTACAGAACACTTCTGACACTGCAGCACTACAGAAACACGCTGAACTCTGCAAACGTGCTGGATACGCTAAACCTCCTGGTCCCGAGAGACCGTGTTCCATGCAGAGCAGCCACTGACAGGGTGATTCGGAGCATGTGCTCAAAAGCTCACTAGCAGCACCGAGATGCTCTGGAAGTGAGTTGGGAAGTGAGTCAGAGCCGACTTGTCCCCAGGACACAGCAACAGAGAAGATTCAAGTAGAGCCAGGCACAGAGTGGGCAGTGGAAAAGAGTAAATGACATGGATCTGACAGGAAGCATCTAGTCAGCAGCCCAACAAAAACCCGTTGAGACACAGGTACCTGGCAATAGTACGGAGATCTGGGGTTGAGATCGATGGTGGCCAGGAAATCAGGTTGGTCGATGCATGTCTCCCTGTAGGTGCAGGTCACGTAGGCAACCTCCTCCCTAGGAGCTGGGCACACAGAAAGCTTGGGTTAAAGCACGCCATGAACCAGCCAGAATGGAAAAGAAAGGCTTCAACAGATGCTCAGATAGGACTGAACTTATTTTTCTGGATGCTATGCTGTTCCGACAGGGGGGTGAACTGGATGATCATTGTAGGTCCCTTCCAGCTCGAACTACTCTACTCTGCTCTGCTCTACTCTACTTTGCTCTGTCCTGTCCTGTCCTGTTCCTCTTTGCTCACTGACAACTGTCCAACCCTGGTTCCATTACTGACCCCGAGGGAAGAGAACAACAAACATCGACCTCCACATAGTCACAGTTTTCTCACTTTGGGGGCAGGGACTCAGTGCACACGGTTAATTAATGGTGGTCTCCCCTGCAGGGAGCTCTTTCCCAAACATCCCCATTCCAGAACACGCTCAGCAGGACTTGCCTTTCACAACATCCGGGCAGGTGGGGTAGTCGTAGCACTGACCTCTGCATCTGTCTGATTTGAGAAGAGGAGAAGAACAAAATGAGAAATGTCCACGTCCTTAAAAGGTGCCTATTCAGCAGACCCTGTCCCGCCCGACGCACCTTCTCCCACCCCAGCTATAAACGGGGACCCAGGAGAGGAACCCTCCCTGAAGTGCCACCGGGGATATCAGGGATCAAACCACTGCTCGTTCCCTTCCGCATCCTCTGAGCCCGCACTGACCCCCTCCCCATCAGCAGGGAAGGAGAGAGAGCGTCCACCCAGAACACATCAGTGGGACAAACCACCAAACTTCAGTCCCACTTCAGTCCCCCCTCCCTGCAGCGCGACAGAGGAACAAACCCACCAGTCCCCAGGTGGGACTGGGTTCCAAGGCAGCATGTCTGCAGCCTCCGGGCAGGGGCTGGAGCCAGAACCAGGATGGGGCTACAAGCCTGGAGCTGCTGTGGGCCGCGGGGAGGCTGCAGAGCGTCTCTTACCCATGCTGAAGGCTTCTGGTTCACTCTCCTCAAGAGCGGCGGTGATGGAGCTGGAGGTGCAGCTTGCTGTCTGCCTCGCTGGAGCTGGTTGTGTTGGGCCAAGGCTGCTCCGAGGGGCCTTATATACACGGCAAAGGGGTGGGGGGAGAAAGCAAGTGCCAAGGGAGGAGCCATGGCTCCCAAGCGCTTGGGAGGTGCCAGACCAGCGCTGTGGCTTGTTACCGCCTCGCAAACCACCAATCTACAGGAAAAATCTGCTGGTCCATGCAGGTCTTTTCCTCAAACACAACCACCCGTATCTGATCGCGGGGCTCTGCTGATCTCCAATGGACTTCTTCACGCTCTGGAGGCCTCCAAGTCCCGGCCGAGACTCAAGCTAATTAAAGCCATCCCCCATACCCAGGTTCCTGCCATACGAATGTGCAGTGGCTGCAAATTCCACAGGAGGGATGAGAAGTCCAGCTAGATAATCGGCCCCACCTGCAGACTCCTGGAAATTACAAGCTTGGAACAGACGGAGGCCACCAAAGGCACCTCTCAACTCTCGACCCTGACAGAAGGCACGTCTCTGTCCCAGGGCTGAGCTGAAGACACGGGATCCCTGCTGCCAACTCGGAAAGCCAGGCCCAGAGGTGCCCCTACCCATGAAGACCTTCGGAGCTCCTACGGGCTGTGACCAGAGACTTCAGAGCTCCTACGGACACAGTGCTCAGAAGACGGAGGGGGCTCCACCAGTACTGACATCCGAAGGGACTCGAGCGACTGCCGACATCGCTCAAGCAGCTCAAAAAGACATCCGGCTACAAACGGGTGTCTCAGGAAATACAATCTGTGCCCTTCTTGAGGCAGCACCTACAGGGTCAAGACATGGCTGCTGCCTCGCAGGTTTGCATCTCCACACAGCAAAGTCAGTCCAGCTGTGGAAAACAGGAGCCTTTAGGATTCGGGGCAACTCAGCACCGCTACTGCCTGAGCAGTAGTCACTTACTCCCTCCAGCAGTCCGGTCTACGAGCACCCAAAGCCCCATGGCAGGCACTAACACCACTAAGTGCCCAGCACCGGTGCAGCTGAATTACATGCAAAATAGCCTGCATGTCACAAAACACCCATGGAAACAGCTCAGATCTCTCTGTTAAAGGGAATGAGGTGTTGGATAGAAACATTTTTGGAAGAAGGGTCCCCTCCCGAGATGACCGTGAGCCTGGCTGCCACCAGCTGCCCAACTAAAGCAGGAAGAAACACCAAGCACCGTGGAACGTGAACAAGTATCATATCTTGTGGAAGAGCTCCTCAATCAGTGGCCAAATTACACGGGATAAGTAATTGCTCCACGTAGGAATGCACAAACATCTGACAGCGCCATTAAAGAACCCCTCAGGAGATCTCTATCAGAAGAGATAGCCCATCGCACGAGGGCTGTAATTAATGGCTCTCTGGTTCAAGAACAGCACTTTAAAAATGTGATGGGTGGACACAGGAGCACCTGGCACCAGTGCCCAGCTTTAAGCAATTTCTCAAATAATTAGTGCACAACCCAGAGGCAGGTGTGCCCAGTGTGCCAAATGCTTCGTTTCAGCAGCAGAAAGGCAGAAATGTTTTTTATGCAGGCTCATTCTCCTTGCTTCCACAAAGGGAAATACCAGTTTCCAGGCTGGCAGGATTCCTGAGCATGTGCTGCAGGACACGTGCACCAGAGGATGCTGCCCACTGAAGGACACGCGGGCCTGACTTGAGGAATCTGCCGCAGCTCTGATCTGGCAAGGAGAACTACAAGTCCAGCAGATGAGACAGGCAAAAAGCAGAGTAGAACTCAGCATGCAGTAGCATGAGCCGAGCTGGAGGCTGAAAGGGCAGCAGGGCTGTTGGGGAAATGAGGGGCTGGCTGCATTTCCCTGTGGAACAGAAGGAAGCCCTCAGTGCAGAAGCAGCTCCAGAGCCGGAGCTAGCTGTCCTCCGCAGAGCAGCTCAAAACAACCTTTGCCTCTCCTCTGCTTGACTGCACAGAGCTCACATTGCTCTCCCACGCCACACCGAGCTGGGCACAACCGTCCACCTTTCTCCCATCAAAACCAACGAGAGGTTCAGCGTTGTACCCAACTCGCTGCCGTCCTCCTTCGCCGGGCGGGCAGGAAGCGCAACCAGGCCCAAGGATGCACGAGCAGCTCCTGCTCCGTCAGAGGCAACGTCGGGCGCTCGGCTGATGCCTCTCTGCATGCTCCTGTGTCCCAACGTGCATGTCTCACCGCACCTTCTTCTTGCACCTGCACACCTGCTAATTAAAAACTTCATTAGTCTTCCCCTCATCAACCAAGTTGGCTGGTCATCCTCTTTGGCTTTCCTTGGTGACGTCTTTGGCATCCCTCACAAACCCAAGCTGTGGGGCGTAGAGTTTTCCAATTAAAACCGATAGTGGGAAGGATAAGAGCAGGCTCGGCAACACCAACAAGCGCACAAGCGATGCTCAGCAGGGAACACAATCAGCGTGGTCTGCTCTCGGCCCAAGGAAAGCTCCCTGCGGCACGCAGAGGTGGGAAGCCGTGACATGGAAACGCCATCAGGGCCTTCGCTGCACAGCCCACAAGGAGGTGGCAGCTGCTGCCCTCCTCCCGGCCACCTCTGCCAACCCCGATAGGGACGAACACGCTGTAATTTTGATAATGGGCAAGACTCGGTGATGCAACCTGCTGCAGACTGGCACAGCACACTAAAGGCACCGGGAGAAGACTTTGCTTCACCGAGGACACTGCGTCTGCTCTAAGCACCCAGGCCAGAACTCCCCGGCTACGGGAGCAGTCTCCAACCTTCCCCCAGTTCTCCAGGGGGACGTTCTCTCCTTCCCCCCTCACCCTGCCATTTAGCCCTGGAGGTGCCCCAGGGTGTCCAAGTGTGGCTGGTCGTCTCGTATTCCTCAATCCCCCTCTCCCACACTTTTGTCCTGCCCTCCGTACGCTCCCTACAGCCCTCTGCCGCATTCCAACAGGGCCGCGAGGCACTAAGCACCACGAGAGCCTGGAAGACCTGTAGTCAGTGCCAGTGTCCTGGCAAAAAATGCCAGCAGAGGTATGTCGTCCGAGACCTTCCCAGGCTCCACATCTCCCACGGGTCTCAGTCTGTTCCAGTCCATTCCCCTCTTCAGGAGCAGAAGGAAAACCACACCATCCAGCCCTTGAAGATGCTGTGAAACAGAGCTTTGCTGGCACACTGTAAATTCATGTTGCGGGCAAACACAGAGCAAAACCAGCTGAGCTCACCTCCCGCCAGGGCAGAGGGGAGAGCAGAAAGGGAGAAGCACGGTGCGATTCCTGGGGCACAATCCCCCCCGCCAGCGACGGATCCCCAGCGGAGCAGCGAGAAGTCGATGGCAGGTAGCACAGTCACGGCACGTAGGGGGTGGCAAGACACAAACGGCCCCGAGGGCAGCAGAGCAGAAGAGTCCACCGAAGGCCCGGGAGACAGAAAGACAGAGCGCTCAAAACTTTGCACGAGCAGTACTGCAAGCAGCCTGAAGGGCAGAGCCACAGCTAAGAGAAAAGGCAAACGTAATTAAAAGCAGGGCGACTATGCAAAGGGAACGTCCGCCACCCTGCATCTCTCGATCCCTTCCCTCAGCAGAGACAAACCACATGTCACAGCACCGCTGGACTCACATCTGGAACACACAGTGCCCTTCAAAAAACATCACTTCAACAGACGTCCCCATGACCAGGCCACGAGGTTTGCCGGAGGGAACATCAGCATCGCACACCTACACTTCTCCCTCACGGCACCTCTCTGCCTTCCTTCCACTACTGTTCCGGCCGTCCCTTCCCCTCCAAAGGAGCCGCGTGCTCTTGGAGCAGGAGTCACAGGGGAGGGGGCACGAAGCTCTGGCCAGAAGCACGGCAGCAGTGGGATCACCCCTCCCCACAGCTACAGCCCACAGCTACAACCGGCCAAGCCCCTCCAAAACCCACATCCTCAGGTTGTCATTTCAGACACCGCGTAATGAGGAGCGGCTTCAGGGCCCGCCAATGGCCAGCCACAGGCAGAGGGAGGTTGATTCACTTTTTTGGCAGCGCAGTTTTCCGCCGGATCAGCCGCTTCAACCGACTCCTCCCACAGCCGCACAATCGCTCCATCTCACCCCAGAGGGGTGGCAGCACCATGCAGCCTGGGAGGACGGACGAGCAGGACCTGCTGCTTCTCCTCTCCCGCGCCTCTGCCTAAAGACAGGCGTTAGCAGCGTTCCTCAACAGTCCCTGCTGCACACCAGACTCCTCGCTTCTCACAAATGGAACCAAGAATGGTTGACCTTCCTCCACGGACGGAGACGGAAATGCAAACCAGGAATACATGCGCTGAGCAGTTTACCTCAACTCCAAGGGTTCCACTCCAAGGACTCATTTTACACTTCTCTGTATAAAACAAGGCACTTCCCTAAAAAAGAGGTCAGTCTTCACCAAAGAAGCAGAGAGCTCAAGGCAGACCTTTTTTTAATGGCAGCTCTCATGACTGCTGTGGCTTCACTTAAGCAGAAAGTGTTCTCCATTCTGTAACTTTCCCAGCTCATAACTGGGATATATCTTGCTGTCCTCCTGCACTTGTTGAAAATACTACAAATAGACTCTCTCTCCGGTATAAACTCATCTACTGGTCTCGGGTATGACCTGGCAGCAGAAATATAAATGACTCTGCAACTTCAAATTAACCATGAATGAGTGAAAACTAGGAAATAGTTACTTGTGAAGGAATAGGCAAGCTGCACTCTGCCCTCCTGTGGTCATGTGGAAGATCATCTATTTTCTTTAATGCCAAAACCGGCAGTCATGCAGACACACTCAGAGGCAGTTGGAAATGCCATGGACTGCAGAAGACTAGGTCATGGTCACTGGTTTCTTCACATTCTTACCTACTTCCCAATAGACCATGATCTCAGCAAACAGCATGGAACAGTGTGTGTGGACCCAGAGTTTTGTGTGCTTGTGAGTAAGGGTGGATTTTGGCCAGTGGGTGAAAGCTCTATAATGCTACTGAAGGAACACGTGAGTATCTTTTTTTGACCAACCAGATACCTGGACCTACTCTGCATTCACCAACTTCTTTTCTTTCACTGAATTTGTTTCCTCCACTGTGACAAGCATGAGAGAGGCGATGGGCAGTCATTAGGGTAAGGTTTCGCAACACCTTCAGAGATTCTCCAAAAAAGCAGACATTTGGCTAATGTCTGAAATTCTGGGGTCCATTTCCAACGGCCTCTGACTGTGGGTATTTACCATGACAGTGTCATCTCAGAAACCTCCTTGCAGCCAACGAAGGCTATGGTAAAGCTCCCATGGTAAAGCTCATCTTGCAATAAAGCAGACCCAGACAGGCACACGTACTAAAAGCAGAATCTCTACGAAGGACATGGATCCCATAAGCATGGTGAGACCCATTGGGTTTCCTCCCAGAATCACGAGAAACTCTACTCACAGCTTACCTTTTTCAGTAACCAGATTAGCAGATGTTGGGAAAAAATGAAATATTTTAATTCAAGTGAGTCCTACACTTTGCTTTTCTCTACCTTGTCTAAGCACCTTTTAGCATTTAACATTTGCCTTTTAGAAGGAATAGCAGCAATCCGCACTTCAGTAGCTGTACACACTTGTATTCAGAGGCATTTCCAACTGGGATTTCAGGACAGGACCCAAACTGGAATGCTCCCTGTAGCTGGAATGAGAGACCTCAGTCGCCTTGTAATACACTGATGGACTGAGAAGAGGCCTGAGGGCCTCCCTCACTAGCAAGTTTGT